AATATCTATTTCTTTTCTCTTGTCATAACATAAATATGAAATTATTTTATATGTTTTTATTAATTAATACAATAATATTAATTTTTAATTTATTATTAAAAAAATGGTACATTCACTCGGGTGATTTTTTTTTTATTTTTATTTTTTGTTATTATTATTATTATTATTATTATTATTATCTTATAAGGTGGATTATTTAAGGTGTCGAAATAGCATTGATTGTGGGTAAAAATTAAAAAAATATATATATTCGGATAAGAATGGTGTCTAATTCATACTTTTTCGACATTACTAAGAATAATGAAACACAAAATAGTTAATAGCCACGATTGAAAGTATATTCATATATATATATATATATATATTTGTATATCTTTTATTGGTCGAATTTATGATTTATTTATTTTTATTAAACACCTTTCTTCATCGTCACTATTATTTTTCTTTAGATTTTCAGACATTAATGAAAATGAAAGGTAGTCAGTCGTTATTGCTTTTCAATTAATATACTTATACATATATATATATATTTATTTAGGTCAGTTAAGAGTATATTTTTTTTAGCAATTTTTTTTAAAATTTTATTATTTGGACTCTGCATTTTTTTTTTAAAAAATATTTTTTTCACAAAATATCCCATCAAACATTATTTTCATACCAAACTCAAACCATTTTTTTTTTTCAAATTCATAAAAAAAAAACATTTATTAGCTTATTGATGGTATTAAATAATTATTTTTTACTCTTTCCTCTAGTTACAATGACTTTTTTTTTTTTTTGTCTTATAAAAGATGATATCTCTTATTTTTATAAATTTATCAATTTTAAACATCTTTAATAAATATAAATCAATTTAATTAAATTTTAAATTTTGTATACATAGATTCATTCAAAATCTCTTTATTTTTATTTATCTTTTTAATTAACAATTTTTTTTATCTATCTTTAATTTTTTTTATAAAACAAATTTATAATAATAATAAGTAAATAAATACTTCATCTGTCCCATAACAAAGTATCCATTTTTTCATTTTAGTCCGTCCCATAACAAAGTATCCATTTTTTTAATTTTTTTAGTAACTATACTATCTACCTAACATTACAAATATCCTTACAACTTAAAATATATTACATAAACAAATTGATATTTAGTTATGAAACGGATGGAGTATTACATAATGATATAAATAGTGTATATATTTTATTGAAATATAATGTTAAAAATATTTGCATACATATTCTAAATTCTTTAATCATATAAGATATTTTTATTATATAGAATCATTAAATAACTAATACTCATTGTCTAAATAAATAAGATCAACTTAAGCGGGACGGAAGGATTACTTATATATTGTTAGTTTATATCATTCATTTATATTATTTTAAAATATATGTTTGTTTCTTTTGGATTCGAGATTTTTTTAAATAATAATTTAATGTAATGTTTTATTAAAATTTAATATATATATATTTTTTTAATTAGAGAACTTAAAAGACTTAGTAAGAAAATGAAATAAAACCCAAAAGAGACACCCAAAATATCTTTACAAACTAAATTCATTTTCAATATTAGCATTGGGCTTGGAAACCAATGGAATATATGTCGAATTTGTGTGTCCTAATTGGGTTCGAATTTGGTCTAGGGTTTAAGAGCGGACCGACCTGACCCAGGCCATTTAACATATTAATAATACTCCATAACAATCATATGCATGAAAAAAATAAAAATTAATTATATAATTATATTAAAAATATTTTTTAAGTCTGATTTATTTATTTTTTTATTATAATATTTTTTTTAATATATATCGAATTTCAATTGTTAAATTTTTTATTCCAACAATATGGGTTCAGGTTAGATCTTGAATCTGATTTGACTCATTGTCATTCCTAGCTAATTTTTGCAAATAGCACCAATAAAGAGTTAAAAAAATATATTATTTATATTAATATAATATAAATACAATATAAAAATTAAGAACACGCGACAACGTGACGATTTCCAAAAATAATATTGATTCAGGAGTTTAAAAAACACATGTTTTAAATATAATACATGCACTTATTTTACATAATATGTACTATCTAGATTATTGAGCGATATTTTTTGAAATTTTAGTCGGTGTTGTCTGAAAAAATAGACAGTGTTAATATGCCTAATTATAATCAGTACAATCCTGTCAACAAATGATATGTTAATATTAAATAAACAAACAATATATATCGCCTAGATTATATTAACACATGACATATATCAATATGAACTCACACCAAAATATTATCGATACAATTTAAATCCACTTAAAAGTATTTTATTTTTATTATAATAAAAGTTACAATACACTAATACTAAATATTTTTACTTTTACATAAAATACAAATATACAATTGCATATATATATATATATACATAAAGCATAAATAACAAAATTATTTTACGGACTTTTAAGCTGATTAATAAAATACTATTATTTATTAGTCTATTATAAAAAGTCAATACAGATTCATTCGTTGGGATACATTCATTTGAGACCAAGAGGGTAATTCATTTTATATCATAGGAAAAAAATAATAAATTTTATTCAAAATATTAAATTAATATTAATTTATTAATGTCACATTACCATTCATTTAAATTAAAACCTTTTAATAGTAGTATTATTTAATATTCAAACTTAAAACTAGAACAAATTCAACCACCTATGATCACAATGTGATTTTATTTCCAAAAATATTGCACATGTGTATTTGATAAAATAAATATATATTTTTACAAGCCACTATTGCAAAAAATAAATAATCTTCTATTTTTATTAAAACAATAAATAATTTCCTAAAAAATATGAATGAACTACCCAGCTTATTAGGTTTATATAATTACCAAATTCTGATAATCTAGATATTAATCACACTTACTTATTTTTCATTCATATTTAATTAAATTAAAAACAAACAAGTTGGGGAATTTTAAAACCATAACGAACAAATTGATAGTATATTTAATCGTACAATATAAATATTATCGATAAATTAAAATTTAAAAATAATAATACTTATCTCAATAATATCTGCAATTAAATTATGATATATATATATATCTATCCAAATGCGTTACAGCACATAGGTTTCTCTGCTAATCCCAACTTAATATTTTTGTAAGAAAGCATTTGGCTCTCTTTGTAGGGACGATTTTATAGATTTTTTTATTATTTCTCAAATTTTCAATATATTATATTTAAAACTTTATTTATATTTATTTATATAACATTAAATGATTATTTTAATTTAATTTTTTATTATTCAAAATTAAAATCAGTGTACACATCTTTTATTTCTTAATTAAAAACCCGGGTTTTTTTTTTTTTTAAAGTATATTATCTTATTTTACAAAATATTATCTTCAATCACTATTTTAATAAAAAGCACGGAGATATAACGTTTGTTAAATAGAAATATCTTTTGATTTCTTTTTTTGACATATGGACAAATTACTTTCTGCAAAGCCGTTATCGTTCGTATACAAAATAAAATAAAATTATTTTTCATAGCTCCAGACAACACAGACTGCAAACAGACTCAGACCTGCCACACTACAAATTGGTAGAAATATGATAGTTAAAAGGAATGTCAGATTTGTGTTAAAAACTGTTTCATTCCATTTATGCGCTAAAAGAATTTATTGTTCTTTGATTTACACTCAAACTAGACTAATGTATACACAGCATGGGCAATCTTGGTTTAGTGAGTGAGCATGTTTGATAGCTTATCCTAGAGAGGGGTATTGCTGAAAAAACTCTGATTTAAGTCTCTTCTCATGTCCATGATTTTCACCTGTATTTGATACACAAAACTCACCGAAGGAGTTGACGAAGAAAATAATTTTCAGAAGTCAATAGGATATGACAATCAACTTGTTGACTGCATTACTTTAGGTTTGTTGTATAAGTTGGTATCATTATACGTTTGTGACTTTCAATACTTATATATTGAATGCAAGGTAATTCATTATGGACCATATGAGTTAAGTAAGTTTAAGGTTGTTTTGTACTAAATTCAATATTGATTATATTGAAATATCTTTCGAATTGAGATTCTCTTTATATAAGTTGGTTTAGAACCGAACTGGATTACCCAAATATTTTGTCTTCTTTCTTGTTTTAGTGTTCCTCTATTTACTTTGTTGACAGGAAATTGTTATTACTATAAGATAACCACGGTTCGAATAGTTGACTTTTATCGTTTTTCAAAAGAGTTTTGAATGATCCAATATTTCCCAACACTTTCTTTTGTATAATTATTTTTATTATTTAATTTTAATTACAAAATATTATATTAAATTATATTTTTAACTCACACTAAAAATTAAAGGTAAAATTGCTTATAACTCCCATGTGGTTTTAAAATTCAGCGTAAAATTTCTCTGTATTTTAAAAATTGCATAGTACCCTTTTATACTTTAAAAAATGTTGCATGAAATCCCACCATCATGAAACTTTCCTCGTGTGATAAGAAGATTTCCTATCTACATGTTTTGCATGGCAGGGGATTTTATGCAATATTTTTAAAAATATAAGTGAGCGTCATGCAATTTTTTAAAGTAAAATTGGAATTTATGCTAAGTTTCAAAATCATAAAGTGGTTTAAAATTTACGCTGAGTTTCGAAACCACAAGAGAGCTACGAGCAATCTTACCAAAATTAAAATCAAACTGATTACCCTTACATTATCATAATAACGCCGTTAGATATGTCCAATTTCGTAATTTCATAAATATTATATTCCCAGATATTTCTCACCCTTTCCTATGGGCTATATGGGCACGCAGGTTCTCGGTATCTAACACGAACCCGGGACCAGAACGCCCAAACAAATCTCATCCGTCGATGATACGCTCCCCACACTATCAACGGTGCAGATTAAATCCGGCATCACCCCCAGCCCACCCTTATATATTTCCCAGCAGCACCAGAAACCAAACTCCCCCCTTCAAGGGGCTCTGCAAAACCTCTGCAGATCGACCGATCAAACAGCAACCATTTCCATGGCAACAGATCGAGAATCTCACGGCGGCGGCGGCGGCGGAGGCGGCGGAGGAGGAGGAGGAAGGAGTGTGATATTCGGTAAGTATGAGATGGGGAGACTATTAGGGAAAGGAACCTTCGCGAAGGTTTACCATGCGAGGAACGTGGAGACGTCGGAAAGTGTGGCGGTTAAAGTGATTAGCAAAGATCAAGTGAAGAAGGAAGGTTTGATGGATCAGATCCAGCGCGAGATCTCCGTTATGCGCCTCGTCCGCCATCCGAACGTGGTGGAGATCAAGGAAGTTATGGCGACGAAGCAGAAGATCTTCTTCGTAATGGAGTACGTCAGAGGCGGCGAGCTCTTCGCTAAGGTCGCCAGAGGAAGGCTGAAGGAGGAGGCGGCGAGGAAGTACTTCCAGCAGCTCATCAGCGCCGTCGATTTCTGCCACAGCCGCGGCGTGTCGCACCGCGATTTGAAACCGGAGAATCTGCTCCTCGACGAGAACGAGAATCTGAAAATCTCAGATTTCGGATTATCCGCTCTGCCGGAGCAGTTGAGGAACGACGGTTTGCTCCACACGCAGTGCGGAACTCCGGCGTACGTCGCGCCGGAAGTTCTCAGGAAGAAAGGCTACGACGGCGCCAAGGCGGATCTCTGGTCGTGCGGCGTCGTTCTCTACGTCCTCCTCGCCGGATTTCTGCCATTCCAGCACGAAAATGTGATGAAAATGTACACCAAAATCTTCAAAGCGGATTACGAGTTTCCGCCGTGGTTCTCGCACGAATCGAAGCGGTTGATTTCGCGGTTGCTCGTCGCCGATCCGGAGAGGAGGATTACGATCCAGGGGATCATGCGAACGCCGTGGTTTACCAGAGGATTCACGAGGCCGATCGCTTTCTCGATCCAGGAACCGCTCGAGGATGAAGATGATCGTAAGAACATTCTAGAAACAAACGGATCCCCAATTCCGGAGCAGTTAGATCTGATTCGATCCAAATCGTCTCCTCCGTTCTACAACGCCTTCGAGTTCATCTCCTCCATGTCCTCCGGCTTCGATCTCTCCAATCTCTTCGAGAACCGGACGAAATCCGGATCGCTCTTCACCTCGCGCTGCTCGGCGACGGCGATCATGTCGAAGCTCGAATCGATTGCGAAGAAGCTCAATTTTAGGGTTTTATCCAGTAAGGACTACCGTATGAGGATGCAGGGGGTTTCGGAGGGGCGGAAGGGAAAACTCTCCGTCACGGCGGAGGTGTTCGAGGTGGCGCCGGAGGTCGCCGTGGTGGAGTTCTCCAAGTCCGCCGGCGACACTCTCGAGTACCGGAAGTTCTGCGAGGACGACGTCCGGCCGGCGTTAAAAGACATTGTGTGGACCTGGCAAGGGGAGTCCGGCCAGGGGTAGTTTCGTCATTTCACGTCGAATCCAATTTTGTGTGCTTCAGCCAATTTTATATTAGTGGTTTTCTAACACTGTACATTATACATACAAACAAACCTATATCTATATATGTTTTCCTTTTTTTTTTTTCCTTTTTGTACATATATGTGACAATATTTTGGCTTCACTTCTACTTTTTTTTTTTTTTTTTTTTTTTGGTTTATTTATTTTATGGGATTGTTATTTGTTTGGGAGTTTGGATTTTCAGTTGAAATTTGAATAATAAAAAATTTGAATTGAAATAATTTATAATGTGATATAAATAGGTATTGATGTGATATTTTGAATGTAAAATTATTTTTTTAGTATAGTATAAAAAATAAGAAATAAGTGTTTTGATTTGATATTTTTAGTGAGAAAAAATTGAATGAATGCCCCAAACAAACACACCCTAAGATTATACTGATTAATCTTAATAAGCACATGAAATATGATTAAATAATTAATATATAATATTGTGTGTTATGCATTTGATAAGTATACATTTGGTTAATTTTTACTCACTCTGTCTACCACAGCGCCTTTTTATTTATGTTTGTTCCATTTATTTTATTTTAAATTTTTAAATTTAATTTTTTTTAATTTTAATTATACTAATGAGTTATTTTAATTTTAATTTAAAATATTTTGATTAAACAATTATTATTTTAACTAATATATTTTTAATTATTTATTAATTATAATTCTTTTAAATTTTCGTACCTATTGTAAATGAAACACCGTACTTGAGACGGATGTAGTATTATTTAAATACAAAATATATAATTTTTTTAGTAACGGTCATGCATTCGCGTGTGCACTCAATATTGTACTTACTAACTTCTTTTATTGCAAATTATTTAATTCATTTTATTACAATCAGTTGGAACTCATTATCTTGGAAGTGTGGTGGGCGTGAAGTTGAGTATAGTTATTGTCATCAACTGATTCTTGGGAGGTCCATGGAGTTGGGCGTCAAGGAAGATCTACACCGTTCATTTTGTGGGATTTGGTTTTTGACGGTGTAGATGATCTCGGGAGTCCGGACTGGCGGAGCAGCCCCGGGTTTCGATGGTCCCGGAGTGGATTCGTAGTCAACGTCAACAAAGGTCGGATTATAGTCACAAGGGAATCTTGTGTAAAATTTTAATTGGAGATAGTAAACTCCAGGAGCTCCAAAGCCAGATCATTCTGACCGTTCATTATTGTTACGCTTTCACCAGCGATGATTAAGATCTATCTGGTCCTCCGGACTAACATAACATACTTCCGTAGCAAGGAAGATGTGTGGGTTTTCATTTATTTAATTCCCTCTATTATTCCTATTTTCGTTATAAATAACTATATATATTTTTAAAATTTATTATCAATAATTTCTTAATTGAATTAATTAATTAATTTTAATTTTAATTTATAATTATTTATTTATTTATGTACTAATTACTATATTTTAGTTAAACTTTACTGTAAACTGGATATAAAAGTGAAACTTGAGTTGGTAGAAAATAGATTTAATCCTACCATGTTATTGTTACCATAGGTAAATAATTTTAGGAGATTTAGCATGGATATAATTAATAAATAAAATAATAATAATAATAATAATAATAATAAAATAATCATATTATAATACAAGTCATTACAAATTAAAATTAAAATAACCTATTAGTTTAATTCAAATAAAAAAAATATATAGAATATAATTACATTGTGTAATCTTTTTAAAAAATATTGAAAAATTGAGATTTGGGACTAATTGAAACAAACGTAGACATAATACATAAGACACGGAAATAGAAATATTATAATTTATTTAATTTCACAAAATATTAAGTATATTTTTTACTATTTCAATCACTAATAACAAAACTTTCAAAGTTTTCTAATATAATTGTATGTATATGATTTTAATTTTAAATTGAAACTAATACTATTCAATTAGTACGATTTTTAAAAAATATATATATATTTTAAAAATGTTAAATAAAATAAAAAAAGCTAATAAAAAATAAAAACTTTAGTTTGTTCCTTTTAAAATTCTACCTAAATTTTTACTACGGGTGTGTTTTTTCGGGGGTTTGGATTTTGAGTTGGGATTTGAATAGTAAAAATTTTGAATTTGAATAGTTGTATAATGTGATATAAATAGGGGTTGATATGATGTTTTGAATGTAAAATTAATTTTTAGTATAATATAAAAAATGAAAAATAGGTGTTTGATTTGATGATTTTGCGAGAAAAAAATTTGATGAATAGTAAGAATTTTGCAAAATCTTGCAAACGAACACACCCTACTTAAATTCTCCAAAAAAATATATATATAATAAAAAATTTAAAATTTCAAACTTAAATCAACGGAAAGAAACACATTACTAGTGTTTGTAATGTAAAAAATACTACTTCCGTCCCAGATACCATGTCCACGTTGTCGTTTCTGTCTGCCCCACATGCCATGTCACTTTTCTTTTTTGGAAAATGATTACACACTTTAATCTCATTTTACTTTTTTAAATTTTTTTTTAATTTTAATTAAACTAATTAGTTATTTTAATATTAATTTATAATTATTTATATTATAGGATAATTATTTTCACTAATACATTATTAATTATCTACTAATTACACCCCTCATAAAATACCGCGTTTACAGTGTAGCAGACACGGTATCTGGGACGGAGGGAGTACATTTTTATTGTTAGAATTAAAATACTCCCTCCGTCCCGGTGTAAGGTTGTCGTTTACTTTTTGCACGTAAATTTTTGAATATTAATATTATAATGGTATATAGTAAAAAAGATTAAAATACCCTTAGTAGTATTGTGTAATAAAAAAATAATGACATTTATGTAATACAGTGTAAGTTAGAAGGGTATTTATTATGTTAGGTAGGTAGTATAATTACTAAATTAAAAAATTATAATCTTATTTTAGGACGGACAAAAAGAAAATGACAATCTTTTGAATGAGACTTTTTTCTATTTATTATTGATGTTGATCATAATTTTATCATATGACTTGACAAATACCTTACAAATTTATTATTAAATTTTATTATACCAAAATATTTTTATTTTTATTTTTATTTTTTATATAATTTTTATTGTTTGAGTTTGTATCCTTTTTCTATTAATGGTAAGTTTATCTAATTGTTTTAAATTTTTATCACAAATTAAATTAGAAACATTTGTTTAAATGTAACACATCAATTGCTGAAAATACACGGAACAATATATATTCTATTATATTTTATTTTTTAAAATTTACATTACCAAAAATAAATAAATAAATAAATAAAATAAAATAAATTGAAGAAGATATTACACCATTTTTTTGCGTGGCCTTTTTATTTATTTATTTAATTTATTTAATTTGTATATTTGTCAATGCTATAATTATACAAAGATCAATATGTAATTTTTATATTTTGATTATGTATATTTATAGCTTTTGTCATTTTTTGAGTGATTAAAATTTATATATATATATATATATATTTTAAATTTGATATAATTTAAATTATTTATTCAATGTATTTAATATAGTAAATTATTATAATATATTTAATTAAATTCAAAGTAAATTTTATACATGTATTTTTATTTTTATTTTTTATTTTATCTAAATAACAGTAAAAGTCAAATGTAAATTGTAATTATAATTTTTTTTAAAAAAAATAATATACTCATTCCCTCCGTAACAAAGTATTCATTTTTTTTCATTTTAGTCTGTCTCGTAACAAAGTATCTATTTCTTTTTTTAGTAACGGTACTATCTACTTAATATTACAAATACCTTTACAACTTACAATATATTATATAAATGTTTATATCACACATACTAATAAGGTTATTTTAGTAATTTTCACTTCATTTCTATTACATCTCAATATAATACTAATATTTTTAAAATTAAATGTAAAAAACAAATAAATATCTAATTATTCTACATCGTGGAATCTTTAGAACAATTGCTTCCTATTATCAATCAATCATATTTTCTATTCATTGTTGAAGTTGACCTCAATTAATCATTTGACTTGACAAATTCCCTATAAAATTTATTTATAAATTTTTAATATAAAAAAATATTTATTTAATTTTTATTTTGGTGATTTTAGAACAGGTGTTTCAACATAATTTCTTTTTGGAGAATATGTTTGAGTTTGCATCCTTTTTCTATTAATGGTAAGTCTATCTAATTATTTTAATATTTTCTTACAAATTAAAATTGGAAACCTTTTTTTTAATTGTAATAAAACAATTTTAGTTTTGATTTTACTATTTTAATTTTTTTTTTTTCACAAAAAAGTATCAAAATAAATACCTAATTTTTATTTATTGTATTACATTAAAATTTAATTTTGTATTTAAAATATCATATAAATACAAATATTTATATCACATTAAACAACTATTTCAATTCAAAATTTTATTATTCAAAACTAAAACCCCACACCCGTTGGCTTTGTTCAATAAGGTACATGGGTTGATTTTCGGTATATGGTATAGAAAATTATGTAAAAAAATATAAAACAATTTATTTTAATTGAATATTTGATTTTTTTAACTTTTACAAAAAAAAAAAATATATATTTTGTATTCATTGTTATTATATTTTTTCTTCTTTACTTATTCATAATTTATTATTATTATTTTAACAAATAATAATTAAATTTTCACTATTTTTTTTTCTATTGTAGAGTACTTCATCCGTCCCTTAATAATCTATTCATTTTCTCATTTTTATCCGTCCCATAAAAAATATTTATTTCTTTTTTAAGTAATTGTACTATCTACCTAACATTACAAATATCATTTCAATTTACAATATATTATACAAATGTCATTATCTTTATATCATACAATATTAATAGAGTTAATTTAGTCTTTTTACCTTTATTTCTACTTTATCCCAATATAATATTAATATTTCTAAAACTCTGTAAAAAAGCAAATGAATATATAGATATGAGACGGAGGGGGTATCATTTTTATTTTTTATTATAATTTTTTAATATTAAGATATACTATCTTCATCCACTTCTAATAGTTATATTTACATTTTGTATCATTATATTTAATATTAAAAATATCTTTATATTTTATTT